TGGTTGCCAGCTAAATGTTACTTCATACATACTTTGCAGAATATCCTGGTTGTGTCTCTCTCTAGTGTAACATAAGCCCCCTGCAAGCTGGAACTTGATTTTTCTTTCTGTCCTATTCAGTGCTTGTAAATGTGCCTGGCTCTTAGACACTCAATAAACATTTATTTTAAAAAATGAATCCATTGAGGCTTGCCTAGCCATGCATGAAGCCCTGCGTTCAATTCCTCCGTGCCACATAAACAGAAAAAGCCAGAAGTGGCACTGTGGCTCAAGTGGTAGAGTGCTAACCTTTGGCAAAAGAAGCTCAGGAACAGTGCCCAGGCCCTGAGTTCAAGCCCCAGGATTGGCAAAAAGAAAAGAAAAGAAAAAAAAAGACCATTCCTGGGGATCTTGGTAGGAGGAGAATAAAACAGAGGGCACCCCAGCGTTCTACATCCCGAGTGATAACATTCATGCTAGTTATTTCACTAGCTCTGAGGGTATTACTGACTTGGTGTTTGTTTTGACAGCTCCAGGAAGACACAAGAGGCAGGGACAATCCTTGAGAAGTGTACAGCAAAGGACGAGTTTCTTTGGAATGGCAGAGACAGTTTCACTGAAGCAAATAGCTATTAAGCAAGACTTGTCATTAGGATAAAGTGATGGGTAGTGAAAAGGAGGGTGGCTTTTGTGTCAGGCACACAGAATGGGTGGGGAAATGTGGAGGCTGGGTACTTACTGAATAGCAGTGCTAGGGAGCTGTTGTCCTCATCCACAGCTTTTCGCCTTCACGGTTGCAGCAGGATTTTAGGAGTGTCGGCATCTTGGGCCTTGGTGCAGAGTTCAAGCCCCAGGATCAACAAAAAAAAAAAATGTTGTGTTTTGTTGTTTGTTTTTCATCTAGAGTATTTTACTAGTTTAGGACTAGGGCTGTAGTGCAGTGCTAGAGCAAATGCTTGCCATGCGTAAGGCCCTAGCTCCCATCAGCAGCAAGTAGCATCTTAACTTACTCTAGATTACACTGTTTGCTCACCTACCCTCAGGGTGCCTCAGTTCTTCCAGAACTGACAGAAAGTTAAAGTCTACTATAGAGGCTAGTTCTGGTTGTTCATATTAAACGTGGCCCCTGGGTGACGCTCCCACATTATGTATTCCATGTATGCCAGTACCCACAGCGGGGAGGCTTGGAGAGTACACTGGGGCTAGTGCATGAGGTGGCTTGAGCTGGCAGCCTCAGATTCCAGTCTGGGAGTCCCCAAGGGCTGTGAGGGGTTTGAAGGAACCCTGAACTCCATAAATACCTGGACACTGAGCCCACCTAGAGACCGTGAATTTCCTAGCAGGTGACTTCATTGGATGAAGTTCTGGAGGGATGCATGTTACCTCTGATTGTAAGGATGAACAATTCTGCTTTCCCTTCAAGCTTTCAAGCATCAGATGGTCACTGGGCCTCACCTTTGTCACCTGCTGTCTGCCATTCGGATGCTGAATGAGAAGTTTGATTGCTGAAGTAATGTTGTAAAATACTGTAGACATGAATGAGTATTTGTATCAGCTCAATCCTAGCTAGATATTAGAACATCTAGTGGGCAGAGGTTGAACTTCTAAAGGTCTCTAGTAATTTCTGTGTAATTGATCAGGAATGCTGCCGGGGTAGTCGTTTTGGTGTTTGTTGTTTGGATTTTGTTTTGGGAAACAATCTCGAACTTAGAGTTGAAATCTGTATGGTTTTGAAAAGCCTTTTGTTCCTGAGTTATTTGAGAATAGGCTGCTGACCCTCTGTCCTGGTGCTTACAACTCTTTCACCAAAACTGTAGCATAATTAAAACAAAGGGGAACTTTCTCCTGTATCCTGCACTATAACCTTGAAAAGCAAAGGTCAACATGAGTGGCATACTACTGTTGACTCTTCAGCCCTGATCAGGGAGTGGCACTAGCCTTATTGCAAATGGACCACATGTGCATTTGGTCATGAGTCTTAGTCCCAAACAGTTCCTCAAATTCTCCTTGACTCTCGAGGCTTTGAAATGTCTGAACATCATGAGCTGTTCATTTTGTAGGATCCCTCTCTAGAGTTGTCCGATGGTATTTGGCTTGTACATATCTGAAAGGACCATCACAGAGATGGTGCCAGGTTCTTCTTATAAGGACCTCTCCATTTCAGTGTTCACACTACTGATGCTGCTTATTTCACATAGATTAACTTGCTTAAGATGGTGTCCACCAGGCTTCTCTTGTCTTAATTACTCTTTTCCACCTTTTAGTTTAATTAATATTTTATAGGGAGGTGCCTTGAACGTATGTGAATATCCCATTCCTGTCATACAATTTGTTTTCATATGGACGTTTGTTTTCCTAATTTATATAATGTTTGGTTTTCCTTAGTGGTACTGAAGTTTGACTTCAGGATCTCACACTCCGCTCTACCACTTGAGCCTCACCTACAATCCTCATCATGTGATATTTGTGTTGTCCCAGATAAGCTCATAGAACCCCCCTTCAAACTGTCTTCTGTGACCATTTGAACTTCCATTATTCTTGAATACTTTGTCACAAACATGCATTCTAGTCTTGGGCTTTTCTAGCCTAAGCAACATAATTTTTGTTCCAAAGGAATCTGGTTCTTTTTTGAAAAATGGTACTTTAGAAGTCATAAATCTAGGTGTTAAATCGGTGTATATTATTTGGATGCTGCTTGTTTTGCCCTCACAGCTTAAAAACTGGAGAATAACTACATTAGTATATTATGTGTTTATGTATATATGTGCATGAAGGGCTTTATATAGACTTTCAGTTATATTCACAGGCAAACAAAGTTGACTATATTCACTGTTATGTCTCTGTGTGTTGAAAACAATGAATTCTTGCTAATAACCAATATTGGTCCAACTCTACAGGGTTCATTTGAATTTTCTCCCTTTCCATTTTTAAAACACCCCTTTTCAATAGTAAGGCACCTGGCTGCTATTGTCCTTAATATGCGTAGCTATTGGTCAGTGGCCCTGCATGCAGCCCCTCTCCCATCGCTACCTGTGTGGCTGGTCTTGCTCCATTTGAGCTCACTCAGCCCCTGTAGACCTCTCCAGATGGTGGTGTTGTATGGCTTAGATAGAGCACAGCTAACTAAATTAGAGAAAGGTGAATCCCATACCGTTTGATTATGTAAGTCAATGGCAATTAAAAAATATTTTATTATAAAAGGTGATGGACAGAGGGCAATAGCAGATTTTTAAGTCAGGTTTAGCAAAGTAAATTCTCCCTAAGGGAATGAAATTTAAGGAGAATACTAAATTCTACCAAGATGCAGTTTAAAAAAAGGAGTGAAAGCAAAGCTTGTCTCCTGGAAAGCTTTGAAAAATATTTGCTTTGGAAATAAATCTACTTCTAGTGAGCATAAATTTCAATCCCTTTCCCCGAATTGCCTGTTTATAGGGAAAATATTTGAAAGGGGTAGTTGTTCTGTAAGAATGTGTCTCATTAAAGATTTGTTGCTATTTTTAACAGGGAATTTAAAAAATAAACGTAATTTTAGAGTGACAACATTTTTAAAGCACTGTTTAGACGAAGATGCTCAGACTGTGGCTGCAACTTTTCTGCAATCAGTTTAACTGGAGAATGTCAGAGCCAAATTATGGTGAGGAGGAGCCTCATCTTCTTCCATTTGCAGCCAGCGGAAGTTCGGGGTTCTTAGAGCCAACTATAACAGAACCTGCGGCCAGCTTCCCAAGATGGCCAGCCTCCATCCGGCGCACTTTCCTGAAACTGTTTTCTTAGAGTAGCACACAGTTGCAAGTGGGTTTTCTCAAAGAGCCCCACACTTAGGCTGACACACACAAAATGCCAATCCAGAGGAATCCAGCGCTGGGCTGAGGAGTTGACTGTATTTTTAGAATTTTCATCGAAGTTACTTTTATGCTATGAATTTTGCATATAAGACCTAGACACTCAGAAATGCAGAAAGAAAAAAAAAACCTAATGTTTATAAATGGATAGTTAGTAACAGCATGTAGGTAAAATAATTTTTTAAAAAGTCTGAGTTTCTGGGCTGGGAATGTGGCTTAGCATGCATGAAGAAGCCCTGAGTTGGATTCCTCAGTACCACATAAACCGAAAAAGCCAGAAGTGGCACTGTAACTCAAGTGGTAGAGTGCTAGCCTTCAGCAAAAAGAAGCTCAGGGACAGTGCCCAGGCCCAGAGTTCAAGCCTCGGGACTGGCACATTCCCCTCCTCTACCCCCCACCAAAAAAAATCTGAGTTTTTGTAACTTCAACATTGATTAACATATTCATGAGAACCCACTTCAGTTTTCTTTGGCATAGATGAGCCTGTTCAATTCTACTTTTAGACTTAAGCCCTTCAGGAACCACTTAGTTGCCATCTTCAAACCTTGTATTTCCTTAACATTTTCCTTTCATTTGATTCACTTTTAACTTGGATATATCATAGGTGATAACAATATTTTAATTGACATGATGCATCGTATTTGTGGCTTTGATGCATTGTGTCACCTAAAATCCTAAGTACCATGGAAGTGTCTGCTCCAGGCTGTAGAAACTGGGAACTCAGTCTCTATTATGCTTCTACTTCTAAAATTCAGTGAGCTCCAAGTCTGGGCTTTTTTTACCTTAAAAAAAAAAAAAAAACCCTATTTGAAAGCCAGGTGCCAGTGGTTCACACCTGTAATCCTAGCTACTCAGGAGGTTACTACTCAGGAGGTTAAGATCTGAGGGTTGATGTTTGAAGCCAGCCTGGACAGAAAAGTCTATGAGACTCTTAAATCTCTAACCACCAAAACCAGGAGTAGAGCTGTGGTTCAAGTGGTAGGGCTGGCATACACCCAAAAAAGTATAGACTTTTTGTAAACGGGGTGGTAAACCAGGTTGTGGGGATACCTCTGTGTGAGTCTATGTATCCTTTAGGTTTAAGTAAAATACAGTATTCTGTGTAGATACCTAGATGAGCATTGTACAGAAATGCACTGTGAGTGTAATGTGTAACCTGGTATGATATTGTTTTAACAGAGAGAAGGAGCAAGAAAGGGAAGAACAGTTAATGGAAGACAAGAAAAGGAAGAAAGAGGATAAGAAGAAAAAGGAAGCCACTCAGAAGGTTGGTTTCATCAGTTAGTTTGTCCTGGCTTGGATATCTGACATCTTAGTAAAGTTAGAGACTTTAGTCCATTGAAAAATTTAAAACTTGGTGGTCCCTGGTGGCTTATACTTGTAATCCTAGCTACTCCAGTCAAGGCAGGACAGTCCATGAGACTTTATCTCCAATTAACTGTGTGTGTGGGGGGGGAGCCGGAAGAGGAGCTGTGGCTCAAGTAGTAGTGCATACTGAGCAAAAAAGTTCAAGGACAGAGCCCAGGCCTGAGTTCAAGCTCCAGGACCAGCAAAAAAATGTTTAAAAATTTGAAAGTGGGAAAAAGTTCATGGTTTATACTAATTACTTATAATCATAAAGTGGATGCTGGTTAATGCCATAGTAGTTCTATGGAAACAGCAATAAGCAGTATTGAGAAAGGCAAAAGATTATCAAGGCCTCAGCTTGTGCTGTATGTCTGCATTTGCATCATAGTTTATAGTCTCTGTTTTGCTTTTAGAGATGAGTGTGCTTTTCAACAATTCCATCCAGAAACTACTCTCAAAAAAGTGGACTTTCATGATTCTCTAGGAGCATAGAACTTTGTATGGCTTTGAGGAATAAGAGAGAAGCTAAAAGGACGAAATAGGGCTAACAGCTCTGTCAGGTCTAAGTTGAAGGGCTTGTGGAAGGAGCTGCTAGAAGCACTGAGGAGCTGCACCACTCTTGCCCAGTCCTTTTGCCTGCTTTGCTGCCTCCCCTCACAATTCTCCCCCCTCCCCAGTCTTGGAGCTTGAACCCAGGGCCAGGGCCTGGGCACTGTCCCTGAGCTTCTTTTGCCCAAGGCTAGGACTCTACCACTTGAGCCACAGCACCACTTCTGGCCTTTTCTGTTTATGCCAGCCTCACAATTCTTTAAGAGAGACTGCAGCACTGTTTTGAGCAACAGGAGGATTTGTTGGTCCATCAGTTTTTGTGACTTTAGAAACAGGGCTTCACTTCAGGGCAGGTTTGAGAGTTCATGCTAGGGAAGCTAACTTAGGGAGGTATAAAGTGTTCTGCGGCTTGTGGGGGGGGGAGATTTTTGATGTAGAATAGGGTCAAGGAGATGGACATGAGCCAATGTAAGACACAAGGGGCACTGGAGATTCTCCCAGCATTGTAAGCCACAGCTCATAATTTCAGCTTTAGAAGTATTGAAATAGATCCGTTATGAGAACTAGCATAAGGAAAATCTTAGAAATATTTTCTGAATTGGGTCGTAAGTATATGAGATATAATTTATCTTTTCTCTGACTTATTTAGAAGACACATTCACGATTACTTGGTGCTATCATACACTGTGCTATACTCTTTAAGGTTTGCCTGTTTGCAGTTGTGGTTCTCTTTCTGTTAATAGCAGTGTTTCTCCTTCATATCTTCATGCTGTCGGCATGCCTGCTAACTTTGTGCTGCTTCTCACTTGAGTTTTTTAGCATCGTCGCAAAGCCAGATTACAATCCAGAGGCTTTTTGTACTTCATTTTTGGTCTCCAGCCACATTCCCTACCATTGAAGTTGCACTGTGCAGAGCTGCCAGCCACAGGATGGCAGTGCTGGGCGCCTCTAGACTCTTCCCTATCCCTTGCTGTCAGTTCAGCCTCAACTGGAGTGCTGTGAGATCAAACCTCAAGCAAAGCCTTCTTTGCTTCAGGACACTCACATATCTCATTGACTGAATTGATTGGTCCAAAAACCAAATTTTTCAGTCTATGAAAAATTGGCAGTTACTAGGCTGGTCTCCATAGGCCTTGAGCAGAGGCTGTTGAAAGATAACAAGTAAGGGATTATTGCAGTGTCTGTGCCAGCTTAATTTGTAACTCAGTGTTTTCTTACATTGAATATATGAGTGTCTAGAAATGACTACTAAAATATGCATCTGTAAACTATGCATCCTATTAGTGAATTCCACTAATAGGAAAATGATTTAAAACAAAGGATAGAGCACTTAATTGGAGAGTGAAGTATGATTGCTGGACGGCCCCCTGTGTTTGAATCTACACTGAACACTGATGAGGGTGACAGCAGAAGACAGTCACTCTAAAATTTGGAAGTGGTTGTGACCAATAAAAATTCAGTTCTTTTTGTTCAAAAATGTTGTAGATCAGATAGACACCCTCTAGGCTGACACGTATGGCTTTTGATTTAGTTATACTGAATTGTTGCATAATTACAGAATTAAATTCCAATTTAGCAGTTTTAAGGACAAAACACAAAGCTTACCATGGGATTGCTGAAGTGATTTGAAAATCACCTCACTGTAGAGATAAGTAGGTAATATAAAATATGCTATGGTAGAAAGAATTATAGGGAATATGCAAGACTTCTATTATGTGGCCATTCATTCAGTTGATGAACATGTGTGGTATACATCTTAATGCTTTCAGGTCTCTCATGTTGCTTTTCCCATTGCTCGGTAACTCTTTGTGTCTCTTTCATTTCAGACCAGCTGTGAGTTTCTTTAAGTTTTATGCATATTTGTATTGATAGTTAACTAGGGTAGTGACTGGTACCCAGTAGTTACTTAAAAAAAAAAAAAAGTTTATGTCATTGAACATGCTAGAGCCCTTGCCTAGAATGCTCCAGGCCTTGGCTCTGATAGCCGGCACTGAAATGTGTATGTGTGTGTTGGAGGAGGGGGCAGCGGTGTCTGATAGCAACAGAACCTTCCTAACGCATCGACTTTGATTTAAAACTGAAATTTAAGTTATTTCCACCCAGAAATTAAACACGAACTTTTCAGTTTGCTCTTTCCAGAGCCATCCTGAGGAAACACTGTTAGATTTCCACTCATGAGAGAGGTGTCAGAGAAGGACTGCATTCACACATTAGGCTGATGCCAGGAAAACAGCATTGTGTGGTGTTGGCAGAACACATGCTTTGCCCTTTGCCCATCCAGCTTTTTACTCTCGGGATTGCTCTTTTAACAGAACTCACATTATAAGATATAATTGACATTATTTGAGTTTGTTGCTTACAGCTGAGAAAGGGATTTCTATACAGCTGATCTTCAAAATGGCATTCTAAGAAATATTTACAGTGGTGTAAAACCAAAATTGCCTTAAGAAATTGATATGTGGATGTAATCTAATTATTCTCAGATAAATGGGGATTATAGAAAAATTACAAGGGATTTCAGGAGAATTGAGCTCTGTAGCAGTTCTGGGAAGCAGGTTCGTTTAAAAGCTACCTTGTTCCACAAATTCAGTACTATGGAATTAGCTTGTCTTTAATGCAAGAATGTAAAGATGCATTGTAGGAGGTCCTCAGAGTAGACAGCTTAGCTCAGATTGAGCCTGACAGGGGTCAGCTAGTTAGCTCCAGGCCATATTCTCCAAAAATAGCTATGTCTTCATAGCAGGAACCAGCCACAAATATTCAAGACCTCTTCTTTGCAAGATGATTAACATTCATTTTCTAATAGCTTTTATTGGTCATATGACCAATATAAACATGCTTGAGAAGATTAACAGTTGGGGAGAAGTGGGTCAGAATCACCCATGATCTTACTAACCTCATGTGACCACGGCTGGAACTGATGGATGTTTTCCTTGTGTGTGACTTCTTGTGGTTTTGTTTGTCATACAGGACATGTATAATTAGGTTCCCCTCTTTGTTTTCCCCTCTTAACAATACTGGAAGCAGTTGCCTGTATGGCTTCTAATCATCATTTTCAAGCTTTATAAAAATCTATTATTATATCTAGCCTTTTAGGTTAATCACTTTATTTATAGCTGTCTTAGTTATTATTCAAAGAAATATTTTTTAACAAAGCACTCTATATTTGTTCACATTTTACGTATTTCAATCGTAATGCTATACTTCATGCTCCTTTATATAAATTCTGAATACAACAGCAAACAATTACTGAGCATTACCATAGAATGTCTGATTAATCCTTACAACAAATAAGTGGAAAACTGAATTCAAACTGAGTTAAGAAGTGGCATGACTTGGGTTTAAATCCTCTTTTGCTACTGTGATCTCTGATGCTTCCCATAGTGGGCTCCTAAATTTTTGCTTTTTAGATTTGAGTACATACTAACAAGGGAATCTTTTTGTCTCTGGAAAACTTAGTTGGAGCAACCAAAATAATGAACATCATTCCAGCATGTGGATCATATCATTTAACCAGGGAAGTGCTTTTTAAAAAGAAAACAAAAAACTCAGCCACATGTTGATGGCTCATGTATATAATCCTAGCTACTCAGGAGGCTGAGATTTGAAGAGCATGGTTCAAAAGCAGCTGGGGCAGGAAAGTTTGTGAGACTCCTACCTTTACTGAGACTCCTTCCTCCACTAAACTACCAAAAAGAGCCAGAAGTGGGCTGGGAAGGGGACTCAGTGGTAGAGTGCTTGCCTCACCTGCATGAGGCTCTGGGTTCCATTCCCCAGCACTACTTAAACAAAAAGCCGGAAGTGGTGCTTAAGTGGTAGAATGCTAGCCTTGAGCTGAAGAACTGAGGGACAGTGCCCAGACCCAGAGTTCAAGCCCCATGACTGACAAAAGAAAAAGAAAACCAGAAGTGAAACTGTGGCTCAAGTGATAGAGCGCTAGCCTTGAACAAAAAGAAAGTCAAGGACCTCCAGCCCCTGAGTTCAAGCCCCAGGACTGGTGCGCGTGCGCACACACACAAATACACACACACATACACACGCATACACACACACACACACACACACACGGAAAAGAAATATTACACTTTTACAATCCTTCCAAATAGTGGTCATGTAAGCTGTAGCTGGACATATGGCCATAATCTCTGGGATGTCTGAATTAACTCCCATTTTTCCCCTTGCCTTTTTACTAATCCTTTGTATGTTTTGTCCGATAGCTTTCATTACTTGTTATCAAAATTAGTCTTATATTATTTAATTAGAAGGCAAATTTCATTTATTTGTGTCTTGTTTATTTTGCAGGTCACGGAACAAAAAACCAAAGGTAAGAGTTTGTTTTTGTTTTTGTTTTTCCTTTTAAACTCAGTGCTGAGCTCTCACTCAGGGTTGGTGACTCAGCCTCAGCCCACTGAAAAGAGTGGTGTAGAGTCATTAAGGTGGTTGTTGGCAGTCACTGAAGAGCGGTAATGACAATAAAAAGTACTTGTAGTAGGGTTGCTAGTTGGTCTTAAATTTTTCAGGAAGCAGAAATGTACTTTGTTTTAAACGTGAGTCATGATTTTGAACTGAAACTTCAAAACGTTTCATAGTTCAATAACACAAAACACCAGCTCCTACTTTGAGATGGACACTGCAGAATTTGGTTTACCATCCAATCCATGGCATCCATTGTCTAAACGTGGAATGTGCCGTTTAGGATGTTCACACAATCTTCTGAGTTAGAGCTAGAAGAGGTTTTTAGATAACACATCAAAGATAGTGTATTTTGGATAGATTAGTGCAGAACACACTCAGGTTGAGTTTTGTTTTAATTCTTCCTCTCTCATTTAATCATGTAGTTTAATCTGATGATGGCCACACTTTTGCTTAGTATCCCAAAGAATGAGAGCACTAGGGAGGCTGAGGTGTTAGAATGCCAACCTTGAGTGAACAAGCTAAGCAGTAGCCTGAGTTCAAACCCCAGTAGCATTTGTACACATGTGCGCATACACACAAATTGGCTACTTAATTCCTTAGGATAGCTCCTGTTGTTGCCCATTAAATATGGGTTCACAGTTATGGGTTGAAATTGTTTGCATAGAGTTGTCAGGATCCAGCCCAGGCTGCTGTTAAGTGTCTCAGACTGTGGCCCCAGGTGATGTATTTTGAAAAGTTCTGCAGGTGACCTTAGTCACCCTGGATGAAAGATATCAGATATGACTGTATTGGAGGTGGGTAGATAAGGATGAAGGAGAGATAAGACTTGGTGAGAGTCCATGCCTATAATCCCAGCTACTCAGGGGTGAGGATTGGGAGAGTCCTGCTCAGGCAAAAACTTAGCAAGATCTTATCTGAGCAAGTAAATGGGGAGTGTTGGCCTCCTCTGTTGTCCTAGCTAAGAGTAGGCTCTGAGTAGGAAGATCTGATGTCCAGGCTGGCCTTGAGCAAAAATTCAAGACTGTATCTAAAAAATAAAATAAAAAGAGCTGAATGCATAGCTCAAGTGACAGATCATTTGCCAAGCAAGCATAGGTCCTGAGTTCAAAACCCTGGACTGCACCCCCAAAGAAAGGACTTAATGAGAGACCTTTTAATGATTCCTTCCTTCCTTCCTTCCTTCCTTTCTTCCTTCTTTCTTTGACAAACCATCTTACAAGGTGAACAAAGATAGTGCTAATTTCTTGGAAAATTAGTTATGGGAAACAAAATTTCTCAGATAACTAAGACCCTACTGTAATGTATTTCTAGTCAAAAGACATTTCAAAGAAAAATGTAATCTGGGACTTAGTAATGATTTAGAAAATAAACAAGGGAAATCATTATTAGTGTAATTATTTTAATTGATTAGAGGATAGTGTCTTCCCCTTACATAGTCATCCAGTTCCCAACCCAGAAGTAGGCTTTCCTTTGAAAGTATTCTAGTTTGGTTTGGTTTGATTTGTTTTTTGATGTTACTGTTGTTGTTTAAGACAATGTCTTCCTTTGTAGCCTAGGCTGGTAGTCTCAAACTTGTTATCCCCTTGCTTTTTCAAAACTCCATTTTGGGGATTACAGTCATGTAATATGGCTCTGAAATATCTTTGTAGATTATTCTGCTTAATCTATAAAGTATACTTTGCTATATAGAAAAAGTATTGTTTATAGTGGTTCAGTGTCGATATTTTCTTTCTTTTTTGGGGTCCAGTCGTGGGGCCTGAACTCTGGGCCTGAGTGCTGTCCCTCAGCTCTTCAGCTCAAGGCTAGCACTCTACTACTTGAGCCACAGCGCCACTTCTGGCGTTTTTCTTTTTGATTATGTGGTGCTGAGGAATTGAACCCAGGGCCTCAGGCATGTAAGGCAAGCGCTCTACCACTGAGCCACCTTCCCAGCCCCAGTGTCCATATTTTCTAAATCAACTTACTATCTAGGGAAGGACTTGGGCACTTAAATATTTATAGGGTTTTTTTGATGATTTATAGGGATGAGAGATGAGAACATTGGTGTTTTCCTGGACACCCCGCTCTGTGATCACTGGACGTTGGGGTTGGGTTCCTAGGTCTGGCCACAAGTCCCGTGCTCATGAAGGCAAGCTCTAGTTGTGCCACAGAAACACGCTGCTCTGCACATCAGCGGCGTTGCTTCTGGGAAGTGGAAAACCCATGAGGCAGTCTAAGAAAAAAGAAGTCTTTTTGGTACTGGCCTGTTCTCAAACACTTCCTTAGAAGTCAGACTTCACTTTCTGCCCACTAGCAAAATTTTTCTTCACATCAGGATATTTTCCCCACTTACTGAGATAGAATATACTTCATATTCTCCATATGCTCCCTACACTCAAAATTTAAAAATAAATTCAGCTGGACACTGGTAAGTTACACCTATAATCCTAACTATTCAGGGAGTTGAGATCTGAAGTTCAAAGCCAGCCCAGTCAGACAAATCCACAACTTTTATCTCCAATTAATCAAAAAACAACAACAAAAATCACACACACGCACGCGCGCATACACACACACACACACACACGATATTGGCGGAAAGCACAGTTGAAGTGGTTGAGCCTCAGCTGTGAACATACAAGCTGGTCAAGAGTGCAGGGGCCTCAGTTCAAGACCCAGAATCCACACAAAAGTAAGTCAGTTATTCTAATAAAAATTACTGGGAATCTGTTTCATCTCATGGGATTTGTTAGTTAAAGCAAGAGGTAGACAAGAAGTGAAAAATAAAAATTACCCTTGAGTTGTAGAGGGGGGTGCTCGCCATTCTAGGCTTGCTGTCTTGCTTTACACACAGTTTGTCATTTTTGCTGGCTACTTCTCTTTCCTCAGCAGATATTTGTGGGTCCCATTCCTGCCCCTAAAACATTACCTCCCTTAGGTAACCTCCCCTTAACAAAACCTATAAGAAAAAAAGATTGTGTTTGTGCTGAGTCTTGGGTGAGGCAGAGGACTGAACTTAGATTTTTCTGTATTTCAGAGAAGTAAATTCATGCTATGTTCTTCTTTTAACTTCTATGATTATTATTTTTGTTAATGAGTGTTCTGGAAAAGAGATTGCAGGTTAAGGTCCTATGAGAACATGGGCCAAAAGCTGGACTGCCACTCAGGTAACAGAGAAGGAAAAACACCTCAAACAAAAGCTTTAGATCCACCTTTGTGGATATAGAATTAAGAGTTTGGCTGGGCTCACTGATGGTTCACACCTGGAGTCCTTCAAAGACTCTTACCACCCATTAAGCAGCAAAAGCCAGAAGTGGAGCTGTGGCTCAAGAAGTAGAGCCACAAACTTAGCAGGAGTATGAGGCCTTGATTTCAAGCCTTTGGTACCAGCACCAAAATAAGAAAGGATTGAAGGGCTCCGTGTCTGGCATGGAACATTTCCTTAGTAAATACCTGTTATAGATGTTTTTGTCAGTGAGACTTATTCTGACCCCAAAAGTCCCTGTGATGAGTGAAAGCAGGGAGGAAAAACCTCCAGCTCAGTGACTAAGTTACATTTTTAGATACTGTCATTGAAAGCAGTGATTCATAATCTTCCCCTACACTCTGCTGACACACATCTAAAGGACACGGTCTAGGCTTAATGGACAACTGCAACACAGTTCAGTCTTCTGAGCTAATTGTAGAGGCATAATTTAGATTATTTATAAACTACTTGTAGTGCTTCTTATATCTGTGGAGATACCAATATCCTAGTAGAGTTCTTGTTCAGAGATGAAACTAGTTATTGCTAAGAGAGATAAGGAGGTGGAGGTATGGCTCAAGTGGTAGAGCGCCAGGAGTGGGAAAAGCCAAGAGAGAGTGGGGAGTTCTGAGTTCAAACCTCAGTACTGGTACTCCCCCCCAAAAAATACATGAGTGAATGTGAGGTGGGTGACATGTGGCTCATAGGTGAGCACAGGAATGTCCTGAAGGTAATGAGAACTTTAACCAGTCAGCAGCAGTGCTGATAGAGAGGAAGAAAGGAAAGAAGGAAGGAATTGAGGAGATAGATGTTTGGTTCTACTTTGTGTGTGTGTGTGTGTCTGTCTGTCTGTCTGTCTGTGTCTGTGTCTGTGTGTGTATAGGCAGATTGAGAATTCTAAGCTACCTGCTGAGGTGCTAACTTGAGCACTAGTTGGGTAATGACTTCACTGTGTTAGATCAGGATCTAGTGTTTGGAGCTGAGTGAGTTTAAGCAGAAGATGGAAAGGTCTAAATTGAAGATAATGATGTGGGAAACAGTTACACAGCAATAGCTAACTCCTCAGCATGAGAGCTTGTGTTCAAGTAACTTGAGTGTAGCAAGAGTACAGGTCCTATTTCATGTTGATTTCTTTTGGTGCTGGGATCCAGCCCAGCACCTCATGCATTCTGCCACTGAACGACACCTCTTTTTTTTGGTCAGTCATGGGACTTGAACTCTGGGCTTGGGCGCTGTTCACTCAGCTCTTCAGCTCAAGGCGAGTGCTCTACTGCTTGAGCCACTTCTGTTTTTTTCTAGTGGTTTATTGAAGAGTCTCACGGACTTTCCTTGCCCGGTCTGGCTTTGAACTGTGTTCTCAGCCTCCTCAGTAGCTAGGATTACAGGCATGAGCCACTGGTGCCCGGCTTACACCTCTTCTTAACTAGGCATGTACCACCACACCCAGCTTAATTTTTTTCCTTTTTCATTTCTGTTTTTCTTTTTCTCAAGGCCTTGTGCATTCTAGACAAGGGACTCTCCCACTTGAACCATAACCCCAGCTCCTTTTACTTCCATTGCTTTTTGGATTGGATCTTTCTTTTTGCCTAACTGGCTTACATCAACCATGATTTTGCTGTTTATACTTTCACATACCTAGGATTGCAGGCACACACCAGCCTAGCTATTTACTTACTTACTTATTT